AGTACAAGGCCGAAAGTATGGAGCACCCAGTGAGGATCGAACTCACTACTCAGTCGTAATTGATCTCGCGAGACAAGTTTGCTAACCATTACATCATGTTGATGTGCCCCTGTTAGCGAGTATTATGAATGTCGACACACTGGAACAGAAATTCCGAGCCAAATGTGCTCTGCACGACTTCAGGTGATCCACAATTAGCTTACCAAATACATCCATCTTGACCTTTCTTCACATATCAAATAGATGCTGTTTCCATACACAGTTTAATTCAGGAGCCTACATGCGTACGGAATTGCATATTCCTCTCAATCAAGGTCACGCTGTTGTGTGAATCCTCTAAAACTTCCTTCGTTGGGTCAATGAGGGAGGTGTTGTCTTAGGCTTGGAATTCCCTGGACAAGATTCACCTCACCATGACCTGTAGATTCATCCAGCCATAGTTATCATTAACTAAGATCAGCTTCGACTGGCACAAGATTAAAAGTATGCTGCACCCATTGTGGATAAAACTTGCTACTCAGTAGTAATGGTCAAACAGATTAGCTTGTTAAAATGGCGTCACATTCAGCTGTAGTCAATCGCAAATTCTTTTTTCTTTTAAAAAAAAAAATACGCAACCACCAATCACTTGCGTAGTACGAAGTTGGAACGCATCAGGTGAAAATGTTTGCTTCAGCATTACTTATATTCGTACTAATGTCCTCATCTTTGTTGCTTCAGCCGTTCTGCCTTCCATCCTTCTTCAGGTCTCTGTCGATACGAATAACCTTCAAAGTATTTCAAACTGAATTATTTATTTAATCTACAAGGGTAGATTGTTCTCGTTCCTCTATCGAAATAATAACACCTCATCCCAGGAATTCAGGCAGAGAGCTTTTCATTATCATCTTTCATCCCTATGCCGTTTTTTTAACATCTATTCATACAACAAGAGCTTCGATCAAACCAGTTCTCCTACGATCACCGAAGTTAAGCAATGTCTAACGTGGTCAGTACTTAGATATACTGCTTAACGACATTGTAAGCGGACCCACTACAATTCAAAATATGTTTCGGCTTTAAATAACCTACAAAGGGTTGATAAAACGTCAAAAAAAAACAAATCAAACAATCCTGTCTTTAGATAATGTGCGTTATAAAATACTTTATAATAAAGAAACGATCGAACTGCATTTTTATAGTTTTGTCATATCAAAAAATATATTTATTCGTTTATTATCTGTTTATATTTCTGAGATGAGGTATTATGTACACTATTTACATTATTCGGACTATTGTCCTCATCTTGGTCACCATATTCATTACAACGTTTCGGCTGTTGTACGCTCCGGCCTGGTTGGAATTTCGAACCCTTTATTTCGCTCACTGGGTTAGACTGTTCTAGTTCCACGTGCCATGTTTAATGGATGTCATTTATCAGTTATCGCCTGTTAATTCAACTCTCCAAGTTCTCCACTGCCTTAACCGGATATTGACCTCACACTCTTTGGGTTCTGTCACTGGATCTAACCAAGGCCTTTATCTACTGTGCCATGTGTCCTCGAGGACGTTTATATCTTGTCCAAGATTTCGTAAGACGTTAGAATTCCCGCCTTTTTCGTTTTCCATTACAACAAAGATCTACATAAATATTTTCTCTTAATATTAGGTTGTTCGGACAATAATGTCCCATTTTGGCATAAACCTTTTGTCTTCAAATATATTATTATAATAATTACACAAAAATATATTACTCATTCCTAATGATTAAAGTGTCCTCTTTGTTAATTTTATATCAACGGCTTCTAGAATTTAACTTAAAATATTATATACCCCTCATCTTGAACATGAAAAAAGAAGAGGATTGTTTACTTTATTGCATGAGTTCGAACTTAGTCGTAATGCTTGTCAAACTGCTGTTAACATTAAAAGAACATGGTGTGAAAGATCAATTTGTGGTCGGACAATACGAAGCTAGCTTGTTTCTGAAGTTCCGCAATGGGGATACGAGTCTTGGCGATGAAGGTGTAGAGAATGTCCATCTGCAATTGACAATCAACATCTGAAAACATTAGTCGAACAAGACTCACGTCAAAGTATCAGAGAAATATCGCAGATAATGAATGTCAGCATTTCAACAACATCGGACCATCTCCAGAAAATTAGAAAGGTGAAGAAATTCGATAATTTGGTTCCACATGATCTCAGTGAAAGTCAAAGATTTTGAGGTTTTAATGTGTGTTCGATGCTGCGTCTTCGAAATTCGAATAATACGTTTCTTGATCAAATGATTTGTGATGAGAAATGGATTCTTTGTGACAATCGTAGACGATCGGCTTGATGAAGAATCCAAACACTTTTCAAAACCGAAATTGCACCAACAGAAGATTATAATTAATGCCTGGTGGTTTTTTCTGGTGACGTTATCCATTACAGTTTTCTGGAATCTAACCAGAGAATCATTGCCAAAGTCTACTACCAGCAAATGAATGAAATGCACATTCGATTAAGCAAAATTCGACTGGCACTGATATATCGACGAGGTTCAATTCTACTTCATGACAATGCACGCCAGTCTTATGTTGCTAGAATGACACTGCAGGAGCCCAACGATGTGGGATACGAAAATTGGCTACATCCACCATATTCCCCTGATCTCTCACCCACTGACTACCACTTTTTCAGACATCTTCACAATTTGAAACTGTATTCCAAGCTTTTATGGCCTTCAAACCTTTAGAGTTTTATCATAAAGGCATAAATAACATTGTAACTCGACAGCAAAGATGTACAGATGTTCAGGGCTCCTATTTTGACTGATTTCAACACTGTTAAATGCATTAGGTTATAAAAGTTGATTCAAAATCGGACATTATTTTCCAAACAACCTAATAAAGTGTGTCTGTGTGTGCGCGCATGCGCGCTTGTGTGTGGGGGGTGTATTCCGGCCATATGTGATTTAGATTTAAAAATTAAAACTTAAATAAAATATTAAATTTGAATCAACACTAATCAAAACAGATTAGAAGTCCAGAAGTGCTTTGACGTTAAGGGAACGAATCTAAATAAATAATTGTTGTTCTGTTAATTTAATATGGTTCTTTATTACTTTTCTAAATACCTTTGATCTTATATATATATACATATATATATGTGTGTGTGTGTGTGTGTGTGTGTGTACGCGTTCCTAAGGAAACTATTTCAAAGATCGAGTTACCAAATTTAATAATATTTGAAAAATATTATTTGGTTCTGTCATAAGTAATTTTCATTTTTGACAATCAATTATAATGATGAATGTATTATTCTAAATAGTAATCATATGTGGCAGTTAAAAATAAATTTGAAGAACATTACCATACGACAATGTTCAACGCAAAATGCAGTAGATTGACAAGGATAAATGTCCACAATCGACTCCAAAAGCTAAGCTCCACGGAACAAAGTTAATGCGGAGAGTGGGATCATCGGTGTATTATTCATTTTCTTAAACCACAATAAAAAACTAAATGCACATTTAAATGTCCAACAGCTGCAACATGTCCATAAAGGATGATATGTACCCTGCGCTCGTTCATGAAAAAATGTTTTATTTCTCTTCAATGACAAATGTACACGGCTTACAGTAAGAATAACACAGAAAGGCATTTTGGAGTTAGTTGGTTGGTCGGTCCTACTCTAGCAGCCATATTCATCCAGCCTTACACCAACCGATTAATAATTTTTTTCTGATTGCTTCAAAACTCTTTGATGGAGGAAACATTCCCTAATGAATACTAGATTAAAGAAGTTATTCAAAACGTATCGAAGAGCTAACTGATAAGTAAACACTTGCAAATGACGGTGAATACCGTTTCGATTATGACGATAAGCTACATCCGCGTCCTTGGTAAGACGATAAACTACATTCAACAGCAAGGCCTCTGATCAGAAGGTTTAGGAGCGTGGAACCAACTTTTAATTGCTGGTGTTCCCAGATCCAAATTAGCCCCGGGTGGTATAATCTGTCAGGGCCCCAGCTATGGGCAAATAGTTCCCCCCCACACACACACCGCAAAAAATGGGTCAAAACACTATGAAAGTATAAAAACAGGTTTTAATAGCAGCAATATATTTTTGGAAAATTTTTTTACTAGCAATACATTTTTTTTTAAATATTACCAGCAATAGATTTTTGGTAGAAAAAAAATATTACCAGCAATAAATTTTTGGAAAAAAATATTACAAACTATACATTTTTTAAAAAAATATATTACCAGCAATAAAAATCTTGTCGGCATTAAATAATCCATTGAGGTTAATATGCCGTAAAACAAAATAAACCAAACCAATCTAAACCAAAGAATACATATTCTATTCATACGAATCTATCCTAAAAATGTTGTCGGCATTAAAAAAACCCATTGAGGTTGATATGCCGTAAAACAAAAAAAAAACTAAACCATAATTGAATAAAATGTAAATTTAGATTATTTTTAAGAAGAACGTTGATAAATAAAGTGCAAATTATTCAGGCCTCAAAATATCTAATGGGGTAACGGTGCACATTTTAGGTCGATTTCGATGGCTTTCCAAAAGCACATTTTACTGTTAGTTCAATAATGTTGTGTAAAGAACGTGTTGGTAAAAATGAATGTCAGTAGAAATTATATAAATAAAACGAAGTGGCGTTATTTCGTAACAAAGAAGCTTCACCGAATTGATCGCTCAGTGAAATTAGCAACACCCAAAAAGGCTTTTATTTTTCTACTCGAAAATGTTATCTTTATTTGTAATGTTTTTGTATAAGTGATGATATGTGATCTTATTTGGAATCCTCCTGTTGACCCTCGTGTCTGGTACGATGTCAGTCCGGGATAATAGGGCTGTTAAGAGAATGTCAGGGTGTCAGTTACCTTGAAGAAGAAACAAACAAATAATAATAATAACGATAACAACCAAAAGAATATGGAGACAAGATGACTTCGAAGGGAAAAAAAGAAAGAATTGAAAATTTTAACGAAATAAAGAAAAGTAAATCATTAAGTAAAAGTGATAGAAAGAAAACGAAATTTTAAAGAGAGGACGAAAAAGATAAACATGAAAAATAAAAATGGGTCAATTTTTAAAAATTCATAATGGAGAAAGAAAATTACTTTTGAAAGAAAGAAAGAAAGAAAGAAAGAATTAAAGAAAGAAAGAAAAAATGAATTAAAGAAAAATAGAATTAAAGAAAAAAGGAAACAAAATTTGAAATAAAAAAGAAAGCAAAATCTTTAAAAAAAAATTGAAAGAGAAAGAGAAAAAACAAAATTCTAAGGCAAATAAAATTTTAAAGAAACAAAGAAATAAAAAATTATTCCGAAAATATAACCTCCAACAAAACAGGAAAAGATAAAGAATAGAAAAAGAAAGGGAAAAAAAAAAAGAAAATATTTGACTGTGACGGAAACTGATGTCATGACTTCGGTGGATTGAATGTTGACGAAATGGCGAGATAAAAATTCCTAAAAGAACTTGGGAAAATAAATTCGGATCTTGGAGAAGATCAGTCGGAAACAATGGGGAAAAACTAGGTCTTGGAGAGATAAAAATAATTAGCAAACAACAATGAACTTTGTTTCTTGTGTAGAACCATATCTTCATTATAAACTTCTTAATATTTCTAATAAACACACATAGATAGATAGATAGATAGATAGATAGACAGTCAGACAGACAGACAGACAGACAGTGAATGATTCGTTTTCTACGGTTTATCAACACATTTCAGGTTATTTAAAGCCAGAAAATATTTTTTGATTGTAAGATTTTTTCGTGATACAATATTACAAATTAACCCATAGCTGGGGGAAGAAGAGATGGATTCATACTTTTCCGAGGGATATTTGCTCGTAACGAACCAAAGAGAAAATTCCGAGCTATTATCCATTACACCACTCGCACTCCCAAGCTCACAGCACCTGGTATTCCCAAGCGGTCACCCAACTAGGTTCTGACAAGGACCAACATTGCTTAAATTTGGGAATCGTACGAGTGAGTGAGTGAGTGAGTGAGTGAGTGAGTGAGTGAGTGAGTGAGTGAGTGGGCGAGCGATGGTGCTTGTCCTCATAAGTTACTCGTCAGTATTAGGTATGGTCTAATGAAAATAAATGTACCATTGAAACATAGTGTGATATGGTCACAGGCATTTAAGTTTACGTGTAATTAAATACTTTGACAGGATAATTATACAATGAAATGTGAAGATGAGTCAATTTATCACATTGGCATCTGAAGATGAAAAAGAAAAAGGCTGAGTCGTTAATGGTGTGTTTCAGAAAATATGAATCTAGTTCATATTAATATTTCGCAAACTGATCATTAATATCACGCAGTAACGAAAAAGAGAGCGAGAGATAAGACAGAACGAAATCATTATTAAAAAGTTTCGTTTCGTTTCGTTTTGCCTTACACCCGTTTGAGACTGCGCATAAATTGTTAAAAAATCAAGAAGAGAAAACTACTTATACACGCCCAAAGAAAAAGCAAAGTCTTCTAAAAACCAAGAACAAGATTTATATTAACCTAAAAACAAGAAATATTTCAAAAATGAATTATATTAACGCCGTCTCTCGATTTGCAGTACAGTTTTGCTTGAAACAGCAAGTCTTTTAATCTGCAAGCGAAAAGCTAAACACGTAATTGTATTTGATCTGAATTTATCAGGTTTTATTATTTACATTATTTGCAATTGAATAATTGTCCACTCTTTCAATAATTTGTGGGGAAGTACAGAATTTTATTAAAGCTTTTAAACCGGACATTTTAAAAGTATATATATATATATATATATATATATATATATATATATATATATATATATATATACTTTTAAAATTTACATTGAGCACTGTTTGTAAAAATAAAAATACCAATAAGAACACAATTCGGATTATATCTTACAGTTCTTTCTTTTTATATATATTATATATATATATATATATATATATATATATATATATATATATATAGAGAGAGAGAGAGAGAGAGAGAGAGAGAGAGAAAGAGATAACCACCAAAGTTTGAAATTTTAAAACTGGCTATAACATGTAGATCCTTATATGAACCTTGTTTTCTATGTTTACAGGAGAAAATGCAGATAATCAGATTTTTAATTAGGGACGAGTTAATTAAGTCAAAGATTCGAACAAACTGTCAATTGTAAACATAATTCACCTTTGACCCTACAATCTTGCTAAACTTTTAAATTTGAAGATCATTTCTTTTATGTTGAATAACGTTGTAGTCAATAATTTAAAACTTATACTTATTAAGTTAGATTTTTCCGATGTAGTATAGTTTGTACGTTATTTCTCTAACATTACTGGTAATATTTTAACTAGAGCTATATAAGTTTGGCTGGCGTTTATCTATTGTTTTCTTTTATTAATACCCCCCAAAAAACCCTTTAGTTAACTGATGCACTCCATTGAGTATAATTTATATAATTTATTATCTTATTATATTATTTTATATGATCTATCTACTTAAAAATTTTGGTTACTTCATTTATTTAAATATTTTTATTTTATTTTGTTTTGTTATTTTGTTAAATATTTTTCTTACTTTTTCCTTCTTTTATTTCTTAAAGAGCCTTGTTATTTACATACTATAAAATAATTACTGTTAAATGCTTTAACCTAGAAAGGGTTACTGAATGAGGAATAACCAAAACGGAGGTTGGAAATGAAATGGTAATCTTTATAACATCAACAAAATACAATACTCGCCAGCGGCGTGAAGTAGGTAAACCACTGCTAGTGGTGGACTACTTAGCATATTACCCCTACTTACAATAGTGTCCAACGTATTTATGAGGATTGTGACATACCCTTTAGTGCTCATAGGTACGGTATATAAAATTAAATTACGTTGCTTCCCCAGGAAAAATGTCAGCCATTCGTAGTCAACATTGTATCAAAAAGTTTCGAATTTTCCATATGTATACGTTGCAATTTTAAATCTGTGTTTCATTGCATCTTACTTAGCATAGACTATTTTGATTGGTTGAACCGATTATCAACATAACATGTCTTGCTACTTTACATTTCTATATTTTCTTTATTTTTTTCACTCTTCTTCCTTTTCTTTGTAGAAGCGACTATATCTTGTCTTTCATTCTTTCTTGCTCTTCTTATTTTATTTCTCCTTTTTTTCCGCGGGAAAAGAGGTTGTTTGGGAGTAAATATTAAAAATTGTAATAATCCTCATTTACTACCGCCTGATGAGATGCGATGATATGCATCGAAAGATGAGTTCATTTATGTAGCAGTTTTACATATGTTCGAATGTAATATCCTATAATAAAGTATATATATATATATATACACAAAAAAGTAAAAAATGGCAGAGGAGTAAGAAGAAGAAGACTTTACACGCCGTAAAAAGAATCCTTTTCTTTTTTTTTTATTAGTTGTGTAGATATTTTTGTCCTTGATTGTCTCTGAAGAGCGAGGATCAATAACAGCTTAGTCCTTTTTTTGCGTTGTTATATTTTTTCGATCGCCAACTTATTTTTCTTATCCTTGTTCTTCCGTTCCTTTGTTTTATATTTGTTTTGCATATATTCATATATACTTTTAAAACATCCGTTTTCGAATCATCAAAAATAATAATTGTTATTCTTTAAGGATTTTTGTTAGGACTTTTAAAACGGGTATCTTAAAAGTATATATAAATATATGCAGAAAGTATAAATCGAAAGGGAGGAAGAGTAAGGAGATCAGATCCACCATTATTACCGTGAGTTATTTTTTTCTTCTCCTTACTCTTTCGCTCTTTTGTTTTATACTCTTTGTGTATATTTATATATACATTTAAGATGCCCGTATTTAAAGATCCATAAACAATGCCCAGTTATTACTTTTAATGCTTTCAAAATAGACGTTTTAAAAGTAAGTGCAAAAAAAATAAATAAAACAAAGGAACTGAAGTACAAGGGTAAGAAAAAAAGTGGAGTATCGAAAAAATATAACAACGCAAAAGGGGATAACCGTTATTGATCCTCGCTCTTCAGAGCCAATTGAGGACAAAAAATATAACAACGCAAAAGGATAACCGTTATTGATTCTCGCTCTTCGGGGCCAATTAAGGACAAAAAAATATGTGCACAACGACTAAAAAAAAAGAGAAAGAAAACTAATCTTTTTACGGTGAGTAATGTTTTGTTTTTTTCTTGTTCTTACTCTTCTGCCCTTTTGTTTTATACTTTTTGTATATATTTATATATACTTTTAAAATTTCCGGTTTTAAAATCCTCATTTATATTGTTATCATCACGACGCTTCGGCCGTTGTGCTCTTCATCAGGTGACTGATAACCGCGAGGAAATTTCAATTTGAACAGTTTATTTAATCTACGGGGGTGGATTTGTCTTGTCTTCTTGTCTATGTCTAGTGATATATTGTTTTTATTTATTAGCGCTCAGTTTCTGTTAGTCTTTTTTCCGCTGAGCCTAAGTGCGTACTATCCAAACCAGAGATTGAACTCACAATCATTATGCTACGTTTGAGGATATCTGTCATCAAGTTATTGCTCACCTTGTTTCCAGTGAATCTGAGTCTCTACAACCTGGGCCAGAGATTGAACTCACAATTATTATGCTATGTCTACGAATATCTTGCCTTGTTGCCTTTTCAGTACTGCTCGGTTATTGCTTGTCCTGTTTTCACTGAGTGTGAGTCTGTACTACCGGGTTCAGGGATTGAACTCATAAATGCTTTGCTACCAGTTACACGAACGAACGCTTTAATTGTTTTGTGTGCAAAAAATACGAAGTGAAAAAACGATTCAATTTAATCAACATACAACCAACTGTTGTCGACGAACCGATACAGAAATCCCGGGAAAATAGAAATATTCCCGGAAACACCTGATTGAGGAAAGAAAAAGAAAGAAAACGAGAAGAAAAAAAAACGCAATTTATAAACGAAATCAAATTGGCAGAAGGAAAATACATCCACAGTATTGTTTGTCCACATATAGACTTTGAATTTACTTACTGTCAATCATTTGTCATTTTATATATATAAACATTTCTAAAATATATGTCTTGCTGAATGTTGTCTTTGTTTAAAAAAAAAGTATATTCATCTATGGAATTTAATTTTGACTTACGTTTAGTTTCTGTATTTTTACATTTCATATTTCAAAAACTGAAATAAAAAAAATGAACCTCGCTGAACATACGAAAATTAGTTTTACAATAATTGGTTCAACTTTATTTTCTCTTTGGAAAGAAAGGCTGATAAAAAAAAAAGATATTCTTTTTTATTAGTTATTCTTCTCATTTTTTGTATTTTGACAAAATGTATATGATTGGAAAGAAAATGCTACCACAGGTAAATGCAACAGGATTGCGACAATGTAGTCAGGGAAGAGTTCCCCAAGTCCTTGGGGTCTGTCCTGTCGTTGATTGTTTAAGAGTAGTATTTTTTTCAATCGAATTTACTCCAGATATATCAGTAAAGCCAAAACGACACAACGGGTTATTGAGTGTGAGAGAATTGGAAAACAGAAAACATTATGAAGGACCGAGAGCAATAGAAGATTAAGCAGGAATACAATAAATAAGGATTGACATTGCATTTAAATTTTTAAGATTAAAGTTGACTGGAAAGCATGGTTTGGTTTGGTTTGTATTACGGCATCTCAACGTCAATGGGTTATTTAATGCCGACAAGGTTTTTATTGTTGGTAATATTTTTTATTAAATATATTGTTGGTAATATTTTTTTTCAAAAATGTGTTGCTGGTAAAAAATTTTTCCAAAAATGTATTGCTGGAAAAGTGTTTTCAGTCAGTTATATACCATGCGTGATGTACGCTTAGGCGATCATGTATCCTTCGATACATGACTGACGAGGCAGCTTTTTTCCCGCAGTAGGTTGCCATTTCTTTCTGCGATAGACCAGTGGCGATCCAAGGCTATAGAACCCAATCTGTCCTTTTATTTACCCATAGATGGTGGGGGAGAAGAAGAGGATCCATACCTTTACCAAGGGTATTAGCACAAGTGAATGTAATGGATTCGACTGGAATTTGAACTCGGCTCTCCGATTCCGCAATCCGAGCCGCGATCCATTACTCCACCATTGGTATTAAAATCTACTTTTATACTTTCATAATGTTTTGACCCCTTTTGTGAGGTTAACTATTTGCCCATAGCTGGGACCCTGACAGATTCTACCGTCCCGGGTAAAGGTGGACCTAGGAACCCTAACAAAATCTTCTGCTCAAAGGACTTGCTGTCGGATGTAGTTTATCGTTTTACCCAGGACGCCTGGAAAGCAAGGAATCAGAAGAGAGGCGAGAAATGGGAGAAAAGTAATTGTTAACATAGAATTTACGGTTAGCCATCTCAACTGTAAGTTGATGGGACCTAGTTGCCAATCAAGTACCGCGCTTAAATTCATAAAGTCTAGGTATCATAGCGAAGAACTCATCCGAACAATTATCATGAAAGTATTTATAGAAAAGGCACAGGGAAATAACTACCATACACATATAAAACGCAATGCTCATCATATGGCGTGTCTTGGGTGTTTTAACCTAGCAGAACTGTTTTAACCAGGTTAGACCCCAGTCGATGCCGTCCAACTAGGTGGCTTGCATTGATTGCAAACACATGGCCTTTCGCCCTGGCCGGTGACCTGTGTCGAGGAGGACCTTCACTTAGTGGTCCCTTGTGAACACCACCTCCTTTTGTGAGTTTAGTTCGCCAGCTTAAACGGTTTACCGGGGCATAGCAACTCAGAGCCATCACTTGAGAGATTTAGTAGATGGCTAGATTTGCCAGACACCAAAGGTACTACCTCTATACAGACCTATGCACACCTATATATATATATTTTTACACTGGATGTCCGGGTGAACACATATAAAATGCAATGTATATCCTTACATTATTTTTATATGGCGCTATATGCTGTATATACAGAATGTACTTTGGTGTTTTAATGCGTCATTAGTGGCAGACAAATAGCAGAGTAGCTAATATAATGTTCGGCGGCATTTCAACATTTTATAGCGGGCATTATACCAGCAGATGGTAATCTAGCACATGAAATGAAAGGTACGTCACGTTCGTAGTACTAGCTGCCAACCACACCGACCCAGTGACAGTCACTTTTTTGAAAGTGGCCCGGTAAACCTACTGAACAAGAGGTGGTCTGCACGGACCTCATGAAGGTATCCGCGATGAGGTACAACCGCATCACGTTGTTTGCGATATTCGTGTTGCTCCCTCTAAAGTAGTCTTTGTGAATCAGGAATGGCTGTTTGAGAATTTTCATGATCATGTAACTTCCAAAGTTTTCTGATTTGAATCTCCTGGACTATTACGTTTGTGATCACGTTTCGAGAGGTTCAAACCAGGAGAAGATAGGTTCGCCTATCGTCCGGTTCACACTCTTCCCTGAAAAGGAGTAGAGTTTATCCCTTGTTTCCTGTTTAGTATTTGGTTTCTGGTTACTTCTACAGTCTGCTTCAGCTCTATACTCCTAACGTCTCTGCCTAAAAAATGAAATTTTATTTGCTGTATATTTCTTTCTTTTTTTTTTTACTCAGTAGGAGTAGATTGGTTCAGCTATCGTCCTGTTCACACTCCTCCCCTGTCTTTTGAACAGGAGCAGTGATTTGCTGTTAGGATTGATTTTCCGGTTCCTTCTAAGTCTTTTCATTCTTTTTCACTCCCAGTAACCACTTGCGTCTTAGTGGCATTCTCGCCTTCGTTGGGATGTGGATTTTAAAAAATGTCAGCAAATTCGTTCAAGGCCAGCACCGTTGAAACTACCTGCTCCTGGCATGCAGTCACTTCTGACATCATACCGATGCTTTTCTCAAGGCCAAGTGTGGGTTTATTAAATAGCTTTTCTTCTTTTTTTCTGAATTAAATGTCTATAATTTTCTCTTTTATTTGTTTAATATAAGTTTTTTTCTGTCAACTCTATTTGTTGGACGGAAATAAAGGATTCAATTCGAAATTCCAATCACGTGAAGAAGGTTGGAGCGTACAACGGCCGAAACATCGTGAATATGGCAACAAAGATGAGAACAACAGCCCGAACAATGAAAATAATGTAAATATTTGTTTTTCTTATATTCATTTTTTTATTCATTCTCAATTAACTGATGCACTATATTATTATTATTATTATTAAAATAATTAAGTAGAAAACGTTCAAAACTTATCAAAGGTCAACTCAGAGTTTCGTAATTTTTTACTGACTTATCTCAGCAAGAATGATTATATTGCTGAATGAAAATCTATTTTATAAATGCATATTTCTACACTAAAGTTCAAATTCAAATTCTACAGTCACAACTCTCAATCTCACGAGTTCTTGGCAAGAACTGATAGGCCAAATAATCATCTTACGTTTGAAACGTTAAATTTAACATTACGGTAACAGTAATTAATCAGGTAATCTCCTCACAATAACTAATCATCTTTTTATGCATACATTTTATATATTGCTACAGATACAAAGAAAAGTTATATATATATATATATATATATATATATATATATATATATATATATATATTGCGTATATTTTGGCAGCATGTTTTCATTAAGACATGTCTCATTGAATAATTTAGAAATAAATAAACCTAATAAATCGTGCAAAAATTAATTCATCCACAAAACAGATTTTCTACAGTGAAGTAAAAAATATATAAAACAAACTCGTATTAATAATAACTTCCTAATTATTATTTTAATATAAAGCAAATAGAATATAGCACTTATTCAATTAACCCTAAACAATTAATCTTTCATATCGCAATCAAATACATTCTAATTATAAACAAGACGAAAACATCTTAAAAGAATTAACAAATGCTAATATATCCACCAACGATCGTAGTAAAAATTAAAATTAATCATATGCTATACAAAATTCAATATATCCAATTTAATCATTCGTAATGACCACTCCCCACCAACTAACGTGTTGCAAAAACCCAACATTGTATATAAATTTAAATGTCACTTGGAAGATTGTATCTCAAACAGAAAAAACTAATATGTATGTCGGCCATACTACTACTACGTTGTCTCGAAGGTTGAGTTTTCATTTGAATGATGCATCAAACATATCACATTTAAAAAAGCATGCCTGTATATACTTTTTCATGAAAATAGTAAACATGAACTAAAAATTCTTTTTCTATATTAAAAAATTGAAACCAATCTTTAATAGAATTAATTATGAATACTGCACAAATGTTTAAAAATGTTGATAGTTGAAAATATCTAGATTATAACTAATAGTTTTGTTGTCGTTTGGTTTTTTTTGGGGGGGGGGATTTTTTAATATATGGACATTTCAAAACTTAGTTACCTCCCCTGACATTTACATCGTGAAGTTTAAATCGTACAGTACATAACCTTAGCGTTTTTGAAATCACATTTTAAAAAATAGCTTTCAAATGAACACAACAATTTTGTTTAAAAAAAAAACAACACCCTGATGATGACATTGTGCTAATGTTGAAAGTACTCGAAAAAGATGAATATGTACCAACATGGTAATTTTCACTCTTCCTTTAATAAGGATACTAAGAAGCTTGTCTGTGAATATGAGAGGATCCTACTGAAAATAAGTAGATAAGACTTGTTTAAACTATTCAGTGAGACATGTCTTAATGAAAACATGCTGCCGAAATATACTCAATATATATATATGTATATATGTGTGTGCGTAATTTTTGTTGATTGATTGATTTGTTTAACACCAGAAAATATTTGTAGAAAGTAAGATTTTTTTTCTTTTAGTTAGTGATGCTTTAATGATACAAGTCTTACTAATTACTCCATAGCTGGAGAGGAGAAGAGATGTAGTCATACTTTTACCAAGGGTATTTGCACGTAAGTGAATAAGACGAACCTGACTGGAATTGGAACTCGGCTCGCCGATTAACAATTCCTAGCCATTATCCATTACACCACCCTCACACCCATGCTTACAAGCGGTCAACCATCTACGTACCGACCAGGCTCGACGTTGCTTAACTTCGGTGATCGTATGGCAACCGTTGTTTCAACGTGATGTGGCCGTAAGACTGTGTGTGAGTCAGTCGTTCACTTTTGAACCGACTGCTCGGTTGAACTCTCTTCCTATGGACGGGAGGAACCCGAAGGAGGCTACGCCGAAGGGCGGAGTCTCCTTCGGGAAGGTAAACCGGCCCTGAACCCGTTTATACGGGTTCAATGGGCATATTTTTGGCCGAGCCCACAGGCTCGGAATGCCCACGTTAAAAAGGCCTTGTGCCACATGACACCCTCGTGGGGGGGGTGACTCAATATCGTAAGACTGTGTGTGTGTGCGTGTATGAAAGTGTGTGTGCTTGAACAGAGAGTAGAGAAATATACAATCTATATAATTTATGCTCCAATAAAATAATTCCTTAAAGAAAAAAATAACCGATAAAAGTGCATATTAATTAAGCGAAAAGAGCACAACGGAAATTTCTATTAACCTAATTAATGTAAGAATAAAATTACATTTGACGAATGAATTCTATCATCGTTTCTCTGTACATTGCTGCCGGTCCAGTCACAGGGAATCTCAAACCTCTAAATGAACAATTTCAAGTATTGACATAATTATTACACCAGTCCTCATGAACTTGAGCTATTCTGTTACGAATATATTAGACATCTTTAACTTCTTACCAATCTAGCAGCAACTGAATAATCTCTATTCTAACATTAATATCTCGCAGAGAACAAAAAGTACAGGCTTACGATTTTATAGGCTCTACTACAATGCATAAATTCGTCATCTTTTATAACACAGTCCTGTAATATTATCGAAGGCAAAAGACAGGGCAAGGCAGCGAATCAACTACCTGATGAGCAATGTGTGAATGGATAGCGAAACTCGGAATGTGAGAAATGGGACACACATTACTAAGAGCTATAAATGATAGGAAGTTGGGGAGAGCCATGATAACTCACTTCCTGAAGGGATACGGCACATTGCATAAAAACACTGCATTGTAAATATGTATGGGTAATACTTCGTTGCAGAAAGAGGAATCGATGAGCTGAGTTCAAATACAGAGCTATTCTGTTAAGTCTACACGTTTTCACAATGGCCTTGTAAAAGGCATGAAACAGCTTTTAATACCTAACCTATCTTTGAGTCAAATGACACAGTAGAGTAGGTTTATCAAATTTTGAGTGGTCAACAGTATAAGAAAAAGAAAATTCTGAATACGAAACAGTGAAGAAGCAAAGAGAAAACACTTCAGTATCTATCCCAAAAGGTCATAACAAATCACAGGTAATAAAAAAGAGGAAAATGTGGTGAGACATGATCGCCTACGTCTTGAAGGAACATGGTATTATGTAAATATTTTTTTTTAAATGGTAATATATGAGGGTGAGCATTATTTCTGGCATTATATATCGCAGAAAAATCGTTTCTTTTTTTTGTCATTCAAATCTTTTTGTTACACGCAAAAAACGTCTCATTCATTTTTAACAATAAATCTTTGATCAGTTACATTATTAACACGAAAACAATTGTCCCCATCTTGTTTGTTGTTATCACAACGTTTCGTCTGTTGTCGCCTCCGACCATCATCAGTTACTTGACAATCCGGGAAACCTTCACGGAATTTAGAACTGAACCTTTCATATAATTTACGGTGGAAAGTAGTGTTCTAGTTCCGCTGTCCATGAAATATTTCGTCTAGTTTTTATTCAGTAGTGACTGCTAATTGTTACGCTTGAAAGCACTCACAGAGGTTTAACTTTTTAATGCAGCTGCTGCTATTGAAGCTTTGCTGTCATTTCCATTTATTTATTTATTTATTTATTTATGGTTTCCTTATCTTATTTATTTCTACGCTAGGCCGACTAATGAGGTCCTCACAGCTTACCATATGAGCAGATTCTTTCAGTGTTCGTCTCTGTCAAGTATTTTTATTTCATTCCACAGGGATTGATGACTACTCTTTTTCATCCAGATATTCAGAGATAAATTTTTCATTTCATTCTTTAAATAGACTACATAAAGAAACAAATAAATCCATTATTAAACAAACATTTTATCATTTTTTGAACAAAACTTTAAAAACAATATTTTAAAAATTAAAATTCGCTTTATTTAGATTTTGGACAGAAAATGGCTTCACTGGAGATTTGCTTACAAAAGCAATCAGCAAAAATAACTTCTTATTGATAATGAATAGCAAAACA